TAAAAGGGTGAATCGCGTCATCAAAGACGTTCTTCGCAGCGTCAGCGCTGAGACGACGAAGCACTGGGAGTCCATACTACCACTCGTAAAGTTTGCTCTGAACAATGCAGTGTAGTCATCTACCAGCTACACGCCGTTCTACGTGAACGGGCTGATTCACCCTCGCGTCCCGGTAACGCCGCCGTCCCATGGCTCAGGGCTTGGTGGGGAGATATAGCCGAACGGCTAGCTGATGTCAGCCCCCTCACCATCCGTAAAGAAGTCGATGACTTCCTGTCTACCAGATTGAGTGTCCTCCGACACGTTCGCGATGCGATGGCCGAGAGCCAAGACCTGCTGAAACAATATGCGGATGAAAAAAGAAGAGGCAAAGTGGAAAGCTTTAAGGTCAGGGACCTGGTTTTTTTGAAGGAAAAAAACTGTCTACACATGCAGCCTCTGCTATCTTCAGGACGAAGGTTTGTCCACGGTTTATTGAACCGTTTACGGATGTGGCCAAGCGGGGTTTAGCTTACACGCTGAACCTTCCAAAACGGATGCGGACACACCCGGTGTCTTGCGTGGCTTGCTCAAGCGTCCCGGGATCCGGCGCAAGTGAACGCGGAAGCGTTGGCGCCGATCGCTTGGGCCCTCGGCAACCCAGAAGCTGAACCAGCAACTGGTTCTGAACACGGAGTGCAACGACCTCCATCCAGCGGCGCATTTGCATTTGGAGAGGTTTTCATCCGTTGACACGTCTCACACGTGCGCACATAGGTGCTCGTCCATATGTAAAACTTGAGCCACCAATAGTGATGATTCACAGAGTTGATCGTTTCTCACGACCGAGAGGATCACTGAGTGGCGTGTCGTGAGCCTCGTAGAGGATGCGGTATTTCAAATCCTCATCATGAGGAACCGATTTGTGGTGTATTCGTAGAATTGGTGCTATAATATAGCAAGCCGTTATTCAACGAATATTGATGCAATCGTGCACGCAGTCTTGATGACAATTTCTTGTCCGAGTTTCCAAAATCCTTGCTTCCGAGAGCCCGTAGCAACACTACACATCCCATCACCCGCATACGCATTGCAGATCAAATCCATCACAGACGACGTTACAGTTGTAACATGAGCAAGTTCATAGGCTGGTCTGCGTGACAACGCATCAGCCAAAGCATTCTGCTTTCCCGGCTTATGCTTCACCTCGAAGTTATATTCCGCAAAAAAGGATAGCCATCCTCTGCGAGAGGAGGGGCGACTGAGTCGCAGAGCGCAATGACGCATGATCTGTGTAGGTTTCAATCAGAGCTGAGCAGGTGGACCCTGAACTTGACAAGTGCATACTTCATCGCAGGTAGCTCCTTGTCAAGAACTGGGTAGAACTTTTCTGCAGCTTTGAGCTTTCGAGATTCGACCGCGATCACCCGATCTCGCCCCTCGGTGTCTGCTTGCAGCAGTGCACAGCCGATGGTAAAGTCCGAAGCGTCACAGACGACGCTGAAAGGTTGATCAGAGTCTGGCAGTGCCAGTATTGATGCATGCAGGAGGCTGACTTTGACCCCGTCAAAAGCCTCCTGATGTTCGGTGTTTCAACACGTGCGTCAAATGAGCCTCGCCCTCCATGCCTCTGCCGTCGGCCGACCATGTCACGCATGACATGCAGCGATTGCCCCGAAACTTGAGCAGCGCTCAGTGGGTTACGTACCACTCCACGATCAGCCCGCGAGCCA